CCCCCGCCCCTCCATTCGTTGGTAGTTCGGTGGCGTGCAGGCTCGGTGCGTGGTGGTGGTTGCGGTGGGGGTGTGTTTCCAGCTCCAGGAGCTCCCCCACAACTCCCTGCTCCAATCGTCCAGCGACCGCAGCGCTTCTTGCAGTTGTTGTCTGATTCGGGCTTCGTGTTGTAGCCATTCCCCCCCCCCCTTGCTGGGTTGTGCCTCCTCCCCCCCCCGCCAGTGCCAGCGCGTCCGCTGAGTGCACCTCTGTGCCCCCCTCAACGTGTTGGACCTCCAGCGCACAGGCTTCTGCCCCCAAGCAGGCTTCGGCGTGGTGTTGCGTGTTGGTGAGCTGCTGCGGAGTGGGGGGTGGTTGGGGTAACTTCGGGTAAGGTGCAACGCCTGTTCTCCCTCCGCGCCCCTCGCTTCGGCTAAAAAAGTTCCCAACTGCTCATGCATCGGACACTGTCCAGCCATCGTCGCCCTTGGCGGACGAGCTGTAGCATTGTCCCTACATCTGGCGTCTTTCCTGTTGGTTGAGACCCACTTGTTACTTGTCTTGCCTGCCGCCCCCTCGGTGCCCCACCTCCTCCTGTTGGTGCTGGTTCCCCCTCCCTGTAAGTCACGGGTGTGGTAGGCCCTAGCAGGCTGTGCCTTCCGATCCAAGGCCGCGTGCTGCTGCTCTTCGGTTGGGGTGCTGCTGCTCTGCTGTGGGTGTGGATTGGTTGGCTTCGCCCCCCGGCTTTCGTGGCGCCGCAACTCCCTCAGACACTGCAGTGCCGTATTAAGGTGGTGCCTTCCTTCCCCCAGTGCCGCTCTATCCCCGCTGTCTGTTGTCGGGTTCGCGGCTTGCTCTTCTGGCACTTCCATGCTGCCTGTAGGCATGCCCTGGCCGTCTTTCTTTCTTGGGGGCATGGGGGTCTCTCTCCCTCTCTCTCTCTCTCTCTCTCTCACTTTCTTCTTCTCGTGCGCTTATTTACGCTCGCTCCTCAACTCCTGCACTGAACATACGCGTCTTGTCGAGTCCTTCCTCGCAGTTCACTGTCCGTCATGATGGAGATAGCCCGCCTGGCCTGAAACGCACTGATGATCTCTAAGCATTCTGCAAACCCCCTACAAGTCTGAACTCGATTCACCCATTCAGCTAGGAGCAGCCTCTCTCGAACTGCTGTACTCCACAAGCGCGCAACCTTTGGAGCCTTGAACAAGAAGACAGCACACAAACATCACTGAGGCTCATATATATATATATATATATATATATATGGTACCCCCCCCCATCGTTTTCCTTTTTTCTGTCAGGTATCGAGCTAAGACGATTTCGTCTGGGCCGCAGTGTTTAGGGCTTCTCGTGAGGTCCCAGTGTTTGTCCTCTCATGATATAAAAACTTCAGACTTCCTAGAATTTCAACTTTGAAATTTTTGGGCCCTGAAACCGAAGGTTGAAGAATTGAAGACCCCTAGGAAAAGCTTTCCCAGGATCTTCGATTCCGGGGCCCGAAACGTCAAAATTTCAAAAAACTCAAACTTGGCATTTTTTGGCGCAAAAACCGAAGATTGAAGAATTGAAGATCCCCCAGAAAAGTTTTCCCAGGATCTTCGATTTGGGGACCCGAAAAATTTCAAAGTTTCAAAAGGCCCGAAAACCGAAGATTGAAGAATTGAAGATACATAGGAAAAGTTTCCTAGAATCTTCAGTTTATGGATGGGGGAATTTCAAATTTGATATTTTTGAAATTTTGAAATTTTTCGGGTCCCAAATCGAAGATCTTGCAAAAATATTTCCTAGGGATCTTCAATCTTCGGTTTTAGGGCCCTAAGATTTCAAATTTGAAAAGGTTTTCCACAAGAGTCTCCCAGAAATCTTCAATCTTTTTCTACAAGAGTTTTTCAGAATGAAATGAGCGTCTTGTGAAATAACACCCGCACGAAAAAGTTTGAACCCCCCTCCCTCCCCCTCCCTCCCCCCTCCTCTCCTCTCCGCTGCGCTCTCTGGTTGTTCTTAAGGGCTTGTTCAAGGCTTGTCTTTAAACCCTTATCGGGTTTGAAAGAGAAGGCCAGAAACTCGAGAGGGCTTAAGGCTGTAATCCCCAAACCGTAGAGCCTATGGGGCTTAGGCTTCAACCTTAAACCCTAACCCTTTAAACCTCATACATAGGGTTTCAAGGTTAAGCAACTACACTTAAATCCTCAACCTTTAAACCCTATGGTGAAGGTTTGTTAAGGGGGTTAAGGTGCAAAGGTTTAGGGTTTCAAATTTAAGCATTCAAACCTAAGGCCATAGAGTTTAAACCTTAAGGGTTTAAGGCCTAGGCATTTACACCTTGACTAGCCTTTGGGATTTAGGGAAAAATTCCGTTCCTTAAATAGATGTCGCTACATTCTAAGGAGCGGGATCACCTATTCGTTTAGGATTTGGCGAGTAGCAAGGTTTACGCCTCGTGGGGGTGCACTTTTACGCTCCTCTTTAAGATTAGAGATTTCGGAACTAAGATTTGGAATCCTCCCGCTTTAGGGCCTGTCCAACTTGATTATGGAATATAGTGAGAGGTGAATCTCATGGTTTACGCAATAGGATTCGGGGAATAAGAGTACGGCAATACAATTTAGGGAACAAGATTTCCCATTCTTTAGGATTTTGCAACAAGACTTGGGGAACGGGGCTAGTTTCCAATGGGATTTAGGGCTCTCTTCGGGGCTGTCCTCTGTAGGACTCAAAGACCATTTTGAAGGCTTAGGGAATAGGACTTCGGGGTGAATAAAATTTAGGGAACAAGATTCAGGGATCCCGCTCTTAGGACTGAGAATGAAAAGGCACTTTGGGTTTAGGGACCCTCTTTTTAGGGTTTAAGGAATAAGTTTTGCGAGTAATTACAATTCAAGGAGTTAGATTTAGGGATCCCGCTCTTTAGGATGTAGCGAAAAGAAATTAGGGAACAGGGTTAGCTTTTTGAGGATTTGAATAAGGGAATAAGATTTAGGCATCCCCTTCTTTAGGATTCTGCCAAAAGATTTAAGGAATAGGACGAGTTTCTATAAGATTTTTAGGGGCTCTCCTAGGGCTCTGCTCTGTAGGATATGTGGAAGGTTGCCCGGCATTCAGATTGAGTTTGGTATGTACATCCTGAGGCTAGAAGGGCCACAAAACCATGGATCCATGGGGGGGGGGGGGGGGGGGGTGCATATATATATATATATATGTACGAGGAACCTCTATGAACTATTTGATGATTCTGTTTCTGGTAGACTAAGGAGGGGGTTTGAATAGTTTGGGGGTCCTGCCTGGGGCCCCCAATCTATTCACACTATTCAAACTATTCAAACTATACAAACTATTCAAACCTGGGGGGTTTGAATAGTTTGAATAGTTTGGGGATCCGGCCTGGGGCCCCCAAACTATTCAAACTATACAAACTATTCAAACCTGGGGGGGGGGTTTGAATAGCCTGAATAGTTTGGGGGTCCAGCCTGGGGCCCCAAACTATTCAAACTATTGTACCTATTCAAACTATTGAAACTATTCAAACAGTTCAGACTATTCAAACTATTCCAACTACTCAAACTACTCAAACTATTCAAACTATTAAAACTATTCAAACTATTCAAACTACTCAAACTACTCAAACTATTCAAACTATTCAAACTATTCAAACTATTCAAACTATTCAAACTAGTAAAACTATGAAAACTATTAAAACTATTAAAACTATTAAACTATTCAAACTATTCAAACTATTCAAACTATTCAAACTATTCAAACTATTCAAACTATTCAAACTATTCAAACTATTCAAACTGTTCAAACTGTTCAAACTGTTCAAACTGTTCAAACTGTTCAAACTGTTCAAACCATTCAAACCATTCAAACTATTCAAACTATTCAAACTATTCGTACCTGGGGTGGTCTGAATAGTTTGAATAGTTTGGGGTCCAGCCTGGGGCCCCAAACTATTCAAACTGAGGGATGAGAGAGCAAGAGATGACAAAGAAAGGAGAGTGGAACAGAGGTGAGAGGAGGGACAGAGGGCGACTGAAGAGGACAACTCCTCCTCCTAATCTCGCAGCTACCAGTCCTCTTCTCCTTTGTCTTCCCGCGCAAGCTCGTCTTGGTTTATCAACAACGGGACAGGAGGGAAGAACAAGGAATGAACAGAGGCCTCCTCTTTTCATCCCCTCCCCTCTCTCTAATTGTTCTTTCTCTCTTACATTCTCTCTTTCTGTCTGTCTTTTCCCTGGCTCTTGTTCTTATTCTACCATTCTCGGATTCGCTTCTCTTTCGCTTGTCTTTTGCCGTACTCCCTTGTCTTTTTCCTTGTGCATCGTCTTTGCAAGAATGTTTCACAGTAACTTCGTTCGAGAACCTGTCCCAATACTAGTTTGCTTGGAGGGTAGATGGTTGTTATTCCGTTTTGCGGGGCATGCGCACGCACTGGGCATGAACTAAAAAAATGAGGTATCTGCTCACAGTATTCTCGCGGTACCGTGTCCGAATGTTTCATATTTGTTGTTTTAAAACCTATCCCAAGAATAGGTTCCCTCCCGAGGCCCTGTTTTGGGGACTCCCGGGGCCCGTTTCTGTGGGGCCTCTCCGGACCTTGTTTTGGGGCCTCCTGGGCATGCACGGGGCAGGAGCTACAAAAATGAAATATTTGCTCGCGATACCGTGTCCGGATGTTTCATAATTATTCTGTTGCAAAACGTATCCCAAGACTAGGTTACCACAGCGTCCTCTCCCCAAGGCTTAGGGGTAGGGTTTCGTTCTTAGGGGTTTAGTGCGAAAGAGACACACGGTGTAGTCTCTGTCTTTCACCTCTAGGGAGGTAGGTAGGCTCTTGTGATACTATATTACATTTTTTTGGCTTGGGGTTTAGGGTTACGGTCTAGGGTTGGGGTTTAGAAGCATTTTTCAGAGAAACGTAATTGCCATATTCGAGAACTCTGTTAATCATAGCAGTAGTATAGACTAGTATGAAAAACAAGGGAGGATCATCACATTATACATAAAGGTTCCTGCCTCATCATATATATATATATATATATATTTTTCTATATATATACATATATGCCCATGTTTCGAGAACGGCTTCGAGAAGCTGTGCTGCTGAGGCACCCATGGTTGCTCCAGGCTCCTTCAAGATCTGGCAGAACCTCGCAGTCGGCGACACTCTCTGTCACTCTGTCACGACAGCCACTTCTCAAAGAAGGGCCCAACAGAACTGTGCCGGCGTCCCGCATGTGGTCCTGGCACAACATAAACAAACTGAAGGTCGCTGGAATCTTCTGAAAGTTCTGACATGTTCTGATCCTTGAGCTCCTGCCAGGTCACACCTTGGCAATCGGATTTATGGCTCTATGCAGCGCACCTTACAAGCTGAGGCCAACGCTGTAGGCCAGGTTCCCTACAAAGACTCGGCAACCGATTCCTGCGGGATGAGAGATGGGACTCAGAAATGCCCGAAAGGTCAGTGTCTACAGTAGATGGGGCAGCCTCCACGTTCGTGCCCATCTCTGCCTGAGGCTCAACACATTTGTTTGTTAAACCCCCTTGCAACAAAATGCGGCACATTAGCCTGACCGGCTTGCTCTCACCCTCGTCTTCTGCGCTCCTTAGACCCCGAAACTCTGTCTCTCTCTCCTTCTTCTTCCATCTCCACAGCGACACAAGAGCTCCCTCTCTCCCTCTCTCCCCCTCTCCATCTCTTTGCCCGAGCAGCCGTGGATGGGCCGCCATTTCCGCTCATCATAGGACCTCGAGCGTGACAAGCGTGACAAGCGTGACAAGCGTGACAAGCCACAATGCCGGGGAAGCTTGAAGCTTAAGTGGAGCTCGCGTATTCTCGCTTTTGAAAAACGTAAAAAGAAGGCAAAAGAGCGAGAAGTCTCCCTCTCCCTCCCTCTCCCTCCCCAACGCTAAGCCCGGCGCCGGCTCCGAGCCCGGGAGGCGACCTCACAGAGAGAGGCTCCCAGAGAGAGCGTCAAGAGAGAGCGCATTCTTTCTTCTCTCACTTGTTGTTTCTTTGCTTTTTGCTTTTTTTTTTAGCACTTTTCGCCACTTCGCCACTTCGCCGAGGCACGGGGACTCGAAGCTCCTCACGTCGTCCTCTGTGGAAACTGAAGAGCAGCCCCCCAACCAAAAAAAGGTCACCACCTCAAGCCACACGCTTCTTTCAGGCTGGTCATACTGGAGAGCACTCCGACGGAGCGCTGCCCTGCTTTCACGTCCTCGATAGCTTGGGCCGTCGTCCTCACGGTCCTCCCCTGCGAGAAAAGCACTGCAGCTGCTCTCAGCTTGGCACTACTTCGTAATGCTAGATAATACTTCAACAAATCCACAGAGCGATTCATCCACAGAGCAAACTCAACATCCACACTAACCATCCCAATTGCTCAGTTGTCTCAATCTCAGATTGCATTCGAAGCGACGCACAAAGATCAGCCGGCCCTTAAGCTCCGAATCAGACCTTGGGCCGCGTATTCCGAAAGCATGCGAGAGCTCTCTCTTTCTCATTTCTTCCCATTTCTTCCCATTCCTTCCTCTCCGTGTCGGGCGCCCCACAGCTCCCGGATGGCTCGTTGGGCTGCAGAGGCGGAGGCATACTCCACAATACCTCGAAGTCGAAGAAGACTCGATGAAGGCATCACAGCGGCATAAGGCTTAAAAGCATTCAGCTTCGCATGATGTTCACGTATTTGAAGCGGACGAGATCCCAGCCGCAACCCTTGGACCCAAGCGCCTGGGTCAGAACTTGGCCCATGCTCCCGCATGCTCCCGCATGCTCCCACACGCTCCCGCAGCAAAAGTCGTCGAATATCGAAGTTGCTGAAAGCACGACTTGGCGCCAAGCAGTTCCAGGCTCTGCCAAGATGTCACAGCGCACGACCTTGGCTTCTCCAGAGCACACTTCAAGGCCGATCTTAAGAACCATCCCTACTGAGTAGAGCCTATAGAAGCAGCCTGCAGGCCCTAGGCCCTAGGCCTCACCACACTGCCGCATGTGATCTTTCAGCGCCTCCACCACACCCAACGCAGCACAACACAACAGTGAACCACGCCAAGCGTGATTTCAGAATCTTCGGACTTTCCTTTCGCTGCCAGCCTGCCACGTGACGCTGTACGGCAAGTTCCTCGAACACCCGAGCTGCTGAGTCATGGCTGGTCAGGCAAATGCATGTCAAAGGGCAGCGCCCGACGAACACTTTGCGGCCTCCTCTGGATGGGATGGTCAAAATGTCAAAGTTCGGAAATTCAAACAAACATCGTCAGAAGCATCCCATTGCATCTCGCAAGTGTGACCCCACCTTGTGCCGATCGTCGAGGCCTGAGCCGCAGACGGCCAATACAGGAACACAAGAGAGCTGAGGGCAGGGCACACGGGAACATGCTCTGTTCTGAGCTGTGAACTCCCGATCTTCTCTGACAAAGATTTTCCCTGAAGGCGAGTGAATCCACATCAACTCCCGCTCAGTGATCTTGGCGACTATAAGGGCCCGGCGCCCCTTAATCTCCTGACCACGCATCGTAAGTCTTAAGTGGAGACTCACGTGACCCGGCAACGCTCCACGCGTAGCCGAGCGGCGGTATCCGTCAGCTGGTTCACGGCCCGCGCTGCCTGAGAGAAGCGGGGAACAAAAAATGGTACAAAGAGGAAGGATAAAGGATTCGCAGAAGAACACTGTAACAAAATAAGGGTCTAAACGAGTTCTCGTCCCTCACTTTTCTGGGTCTCTCGGCGCCGGCTGCGCTGGCAAACTCCACGAGGCCTCGGCATCGCAGAAGTAACTTCAAAACAAAGGCCACGGAGCTCGTCTGGCATTGTTTGGTTTTACGGTCAAAAGAAAGAGTATGCATCCGCCGAGGCGTAGGAGTATGGGTAGCACAAAGCAGGTACCCCACCTCGAACCCCTCCCAATCGCCACAATTTTGCACCCTTTTATTTTTTGAATGGGTGCCCCTTACCAGAGGCATTTGGGCTTGGCACCTCTGCGCGGGCCCCGACCGAGGCGGTTCGCGTAGCGTTGAAATTTACATATCTTACATGCTTCGGGAGAGTTTTTGAGAATTTTGCGCAGAAGTGTGAGGGCTCCACCGCAGCCCTTGCTGCCCATAGCCTCCCGACGAACGAGCTTCAACAAAAGAGAAAGGGAGAGAGGGCACTGTAAAAACGATTCGCGTGTTACGTCGCTGCGTGTCGTGTCCAAGGCCAAGTTGGGGACTGTTCCAGGCTCAGCGAGGATGTCGCAGTGCAGAACCTCGAGATACAGGTATCACAAGTCGCATTGTTGCTTCAACATGCAATCGATGAGGCTCTGTCATCTCCCGCTTGCCTCATGTGATCCTGCAGGCCGCGCAAGCGCACGGGAAGCTATGTCAATGTCTACCTGTCCAAACATGCCGGGAAACCTTCAGTTCCTGCCAGGTGCAACTGTAGGGCAGGTTCCCAACCTGACAGCCGCTTTCTGCCACTAGAACCCGGAACGGCATGCAAGGCACATGGAGCCCGTGCTGCTCGTCATGAGCTGCGGGTAATAACTGGTCGTGGACTCGGAGCGCCAGACTTCATTTTATTAAACGAATACCGGGTATCGATGCCCGAAGCTCCCTCAGTGGGACTCCGTGGGAGACGAAAACAACGCTGCACAACACCGCCACAACGCCGCCACAACGAGGCCCTGGAAAAGGCCCTAGACCCTCTTAGGGACGCCAGCCCCTCCTCCCCGAAAAACTTATTCCATCTGCAAGTCCTGTGACAAAAAGTTGCAGGCCACAAGGCCCTGAGTTTTGTGACAAAATGGAACCCTCTTATGGACGCCACCCCACCCCCCCCCCTTCTGGTCACAAAAACTCAGAGCCTTGTGGCCTGCAACTTTTTGTCACAGAACCTGCAGATAGACTGTGTTTTCCGGGGGGGGGGGGGGGGGGGGGGAGGGGCGGGCTGGCGTTCCTAAGAGGGGTTCTAGGGCCTTTTCCAGGGGCCTGCAACGTTTGTTACAGAACTGATTCCAGGGCAACGTTTTGTCAACCTACCTATATACATACTCATCGCTGGAAGTTTTTCTAACTGCACCTCGGGGAAAAGATATTCTATCTGCAACGCTGGGTATCGTAACTGCAACTAACGTCTGGAAAATCAATATTCTAACTGCAAGGTTTGGCCGAGGGTAATTTCTTGTTCAAAAAACCCAAAATGTACTGGGCGGAGGGTAAACACAAAAAAAGAATCTACCTGCAAGTTTGCCACTATATAGCGTTCAGGGTTTACGATGTGGGGTGTGCGGTGTAGGGTCCCGAAGATCGTTTGAACAGCCGGCATTCGCATTGCTTCCGACTTCGGAACTCGCTGCTCGTCTTTAGACCAGACACGTACACGACACCACGTAGATCCGCGCTTTCCAAGCACTCGAGTCCATGCGGCAAGGCCACATTCTCACCTAATTCCATAATCGCACTACACCCTAAACCCTCAACCCTAAACCCGAAACGCAAAACCTTCTGGGATAGGGCATCATAGGGTATCTATTTCCACTGTGAGGCAAATATTGTCCGAAGGTCATGCAAGCAGTCGGCTGGTCAATCCCTAAACCCTAAACCCTAAAACCTGAAACCCTGAACCCAAAGGCTGCAAAGAGCTGCCAAGCCAGTAGCATTTGACGTGTCGTTTTCCTGGCAATGCCCCTCGCAGCTCGAACTACACTTCTTTCCACACCCTGCTATCGGAGGACTTTCCGTAAGGCTCTATGTACCTAGGTTTCGGGTTAAGGGGTTTAGGGGCTCGGGTGTATATTTGGGCCCCACAGTTGCTATGTGGGAACCCCTTTAAGGCCTACATCCTCATGAAGGGAGACCTGGTTGTGGAGTTTATGAGTGGGTAAGATAGGGGTCTTAATAGTTGGAACACTTTGTTTTTTGAAGGGGGGGAAGTTATAGTATAATTACAGAGGGACCATAAACGCATTTCCCAGAATAGGGCTACCCCCAGCCAAAATACTATAATCCTCTAATTACTATAGGAACCCCCAACAAGGGTACCCCTATTTTCGGAAACCCCACTATTCGTGATGATTCCAACCTCAGACTAAACAATCACCCGCAAGTGTCTCGCAGCGCTCTCAAACTCCCAAGCCCGGCCCAAGCCCTGTCATCTCGGCTCCAAACGAAGACGCTGCTTCCGGAGCATGCCTACTAAGGAAGTGACAGAGAGTGGCAAAGTTGAATGTCAACGTCAAGAGTGCATGAAAGCTCACAATGATGTTCACCTGCGCCTCCGACCGGTAAGCCCTCCCCCCCTCCGCCTCCTATGCCCTGGAATCTGAGGACTTGGGACCGCGTGAACCCTTCGGGGCCCTTCGGGTAGTGGTCCACGGGATGAACGCCGCAACGGCTGCCGAACCCGAGACCCGAGCGCTCAGGTTCGAAAAATCGAAGCCTTGATTTCAAGATGTAAGACTTGGGAAGTCCAGGCGCCCAGCGGCGCCGAGGGCATCAAAATGTATCAACGTAGCCAGCTATGTTGCGAATTGCCGTAACATCAAGGGTGCGCACATCTTGGTGGATCTCATCTCCGTCCTGGCTACATCCTCCTCAGCCGCCTGGCCTCGATGCCGTGACTATAGAATGCCCATCGAACCTCGAAAGCACCAACCCGGGATTCTGCCACCCTGGCACATAATGCTCAGCAAACGGCGGACACAAAGACAAGCGGGCGTCACGCTCAGCAAACATTGTTCTGAACCCAAAATGATTCTCAATACATCGCTGCGGCGCTTTTATGCCATTCACATACTCGCCGGATACAAATGCATTGCATGCTGGTCTACATGAACGAGACAGTTGTACAACAACGGCATTTATGACGATTCATGTGAGTGTTGCTTTGACTGTAAACTCTGCCTATTAGGAAGTCCAACATTTGCAACAATCCTAATTCTTCAGCAAGCGCAAAAGTCACAATTCACAGACCAGAAACAAACAACGCGAAACCCAGCATCACCACCACAAACAAGTTGCATCCTGATGTTTGCAACTTGCTGTTCTGCAGGGCTCAAGCGGACAGGCAAGTGCAAGTGCAAGTGCAAGTGCAAGTGCAAGTGCAAGTGCAAGTGCAAGTGCAATGGCATCTATTGTTTTTGGATACATTGACATAGGTTCCTGCTTGTGTTTATCTGCTGTTCGCATTCCGTGTGATTAATGGAAGCCCATATGAATACTCTCCAAGCGTCATATGAGCATTGCGTTTGCCGATGGGGAAAGCGGTGGAGGCAGGGGGGGTGGGTGGGGTGGGTGGCTTGTGACTTGTCGCTCTGGCCATGTTCAAGATTCAAGAATGGTCTTGACCACCATCCCTTCCACGGAGTCTCTTCATCTTGGTTGCAGGCAGAGCGGCACCCAAGTCCACAAAACGTTTGTTGAACTAGCCTCCCTGAAGGGGCTGGAACTCTGCTGGGGCCTTTCGGGGTCCTGTCTACAGAGCCCAACTCTGATGCAGTACTAAGCCCAGCAATCTATGCCTTCCGCCCGTGCTTCTCCGCCAGCTCATCGAGGGTCATGTCCTGAGCCGCAACTTCTCCGTGTGCTTTAGACGAAAGGGCGGCATGCGCTACTGTATCATGTTCTTGAATGCTTGGGCCAGTGTCGCCGCTCTATCAGAAGTGCATCAGCTGCGCTAGTGACATTCAAGCAACTTTTGGCTTTTGTCAGTCATTCTTTTTTATTCATTGCTGCAGCGGTCGATCTCCGGGGCTTGGGCCAACTTCACCGAAGGCTTCCATGCCATTGTTGCGGGCAAAGAGCGCCGCCGCGCCACGCAGGCGCCACGCGGCGCTTGTGCTTCAAGTACGTTGCAAGTGCAACTGCAAGTGCAACTGCAAGAGCAACTGCAAGTGCAATATAGTGCACGTGCATGTACATTGCAAGTGCTTGGAGTGCCGTCTTGGAAATTCCTCTGCGCCGCCTCTGAACTTGCCCAAGCATGTCCAAATCTCCATTCCTCTACATGGAAAACATGCTTCTGCCATCAGCCCCAGCAACTATCTAGCACATGCTTCTGGTAGCCATCGGCTTCGGCATGGAAACATGTGTGACAGCAACACGACGGAAGGAGCCATTCGTTCGCTCAATGACCTGATCTCTGCCACAACTTTCTCGGCCCGCCATCTTGATTAGCTATGCACACGGTGCCTCAGCTTCGTCGACCTGCCCAGGGATTGTTACTAACTCTTGCTCTGTCTGCCACTCTCATCTCCACTCTCATCTCTAGACCGTCTGCTGTGCAGCAGATCCGATGGCCTCGCTTTTTGTGCCAGGGACGCACCCTGCACAGTGTCACCGTTCAGTTTCAGTGGAGGCGAAGCATTCCATGAAACTGACTGCTGTTCTGCTGCCTCAAAGCCAAACCATGACCAAAAGTCCTGGTCTCATTCCAGTTTTCGAAAAGCAAACATACAGACATGCTCTGAAACTCTTGAGAAAGTGTGCCTGAGGCTGAGGCGCCTGCATCATCACGTCGATGCACGGACGATATGCGCTCCTGGAGCTCAACACAGTGATTACGCAGCGACAATTCTCAGCTGTCCAAAGTTCCAACATGTTTTCCACTCCGTTCGGCAGGCTGAGCCGCCTCGCTGGCTCTGCCGTCAACGGCACGGTGAGCCCTCGAAGTGGGACACAGCTATCACAGCGCGTTGGCTGAGTCGACATGAACCGAAGACGACTGAGATCAGTGTCAGCTTTGAGCGAAGCACTGACCTCGAAAGTAAAAAGGGAGTCCCCCGGTGTCAAGGGCATCCCTTCTACGTTAACGCACCTCTGGAACGCCGCAGGATATGGTCACATATGCCGTTATTGCGAAGTTCACACCAACCGAAGTTGCTACTGAAGCGTTGCAAAGACTGCGGCCTTCATGTCGCAACGCGTTTCCTTTGAACGGCTGCTCTCATGAGGCACTGGGCTTTCAGTGGTTCAGGGCGAAGGTCCATCCCAAATATACTCCTCACAAGCATTGGCCGGTATCGGCGAATAAGTGTTCGCTTACAGCTCGGGGGTCCTCGGTGCTTCCCAGGGAGTTCCTTCGCGGAATCTCCTTGAGAAAAAAACACTATGCATTTTAAAGCGAAGGAACTCACCAGAAACAATTTCTGACCATCTCTGACCGCTATGAGACTTCCGAGCGCGCCTCCTCCAATCGCGCGGGCGTAGGCAGTGGGTCCGAAGTCTCCGTGACTGGTTCCGGCTGAGACATGCCGTGGAGGATGCAAAGGAAATCCTCAGTGCAATCTCAGTGCTACGATGTGAGCCTTTCATACTCACGTCAGCATGCTCTTCTCCATCTTCCCG